CCCCCCGCCCCCCACCCACATCTTCCCCCTTACAGTAGACACCAGTAGCAGCTCACCTGCTTCCCACCATGGCCTTGCAGGATCTGGCCTGCCTGGATCCCTCTGAGCCCTCTTCCATGTCTCCTTCCAGTGCTACCTGCTCTCAGGGGCACTGAGCCCACTCCTCCTGTTGTAAGGTCTTTTATCACGAGACTGGGGCTGCTCCTGCAATTGGGGCGGTATGAGTGGGAGACGAGCCTCTGCCATCTCTGCATAGGCACGGCCAGCTTCAACTTGGAAGGGGTGTTTCTGCAGCAAATGCTTGACCAGCACTTGGCTAGGGGACAGCTGGCCCAGTCCCTCTTCCTGGCCCTGGCAGCCAGCAATGTTTTTAAGCTACAAATTGGATCATGTCACTCTTCTGCTTTAAAACCTCTAATGGCTTCCCATCACTCACAGGATAAAGACCAAAATCTACACCAAGGCCCTGCTTAGTCTCTGACTTCTCTGCATCCTCTCTCCTCTGATAGTAGGCAGTGTCTCCCCAACCGACTACTCACATTTATCAGCCCACTGATCACACAGTTGTATTTCCTGGGGAGCTCTGCCTGCTCCCCCAGACACCTGCTATCAGGGCATGCAGTCTGTGTAATTTTCAGTCTGTGATTCCGTAGCCAGGACTCTGAGTGGGGAACAGCACCCAACCTCCTCACGCCAATCCCTGTTACACTGTAAGACTGATGACGTCAGGGAACGTGTATCTGCTTACCGCTCCACATCCTCCCTCTTGGCCTGGAAACGCGCCAGCACACACTCAATGCCCAAACGAGAGAATGCCTCAGTGAATACAAAACAAACACAGAACCCGGGGGACCCCATCTTGGCACCTGTAAGGCCATGGCCCATATATGACAAGACTTGGAAACGATGGAGGAAATCTCAATGTAGGAGAGATCCCAACTTGTCTGCTGAATACTTCTGGAACAGAAGTATTTCTTGTTTTACTCTCAACCACCTTGCAAAGTAGGGTTAGCCAGGCTTCACTGTTGAATAAAAGAACCTCAGGAGGAGAGTGTGGCACAGCAATGGGGAAAGGGAAGGGACTCAGGACTTGCCCCAGGCCTGCCGAGACCAAAGCCTGCTCTCTCCATTACTACGTCACTGAGGGAGGGCCGCTCTGCCTCTGACTTCACACTGTCTCACCGAGGTCAATGTCCACTGGCGCTGTCAGGGTCCCCAGGTCCCATCTCCTCTGACCCTCCAGAAGTAGCTCCCTGGGTGGGAAGCCCTGGATGGCCAAGGCCTGGCCTGTAGCAGATGCTCAGGGCAGGAGACAGCCGACTGCCCCAGAGCACTGCAGAGCCATGGCCGCCTACTATGCTCACTCTGTCCACAGCCATCTCCTCCTACGAGAGACTCTGGAGGACACTGTCAACTTGCCCAACAGCCACTTTCCATTACAAGTGGAAATGGCAGGGTCAACGTGGGAGGCCAAAGGAGAGCCAAGAAGAGGCTTTGCAGAGTTCTGCCTATGTCTCCCTGGAAATCTCTGACTTAAGAATCTGCATAGGTCTCCCGGGCAGAGACAATGAAAGAGAAGAGAACCCAGCCTGCAGCCTCTGCTTGCTGGGAAGGGCCTGCATGCTGGGAAGGGGTAGGGGAGATAGTGGAAATGTTCCAAGGAAAATGCAGTGGCTCAAAGCTCTTATGCTGGTCTTGAAAACAGATTGCAGTGCCCTGGCGATCACACTGGTAACATGTCTCCTCTGCCTGTTGCTTCTGTTAGTAATCCCCTCCCGAAATATGGCTTGCTCTGGATCCCCTTCCACACCCCGCTGCTCACAGACCCTCTGGTGTCTCGAGAAATGGTGTTCAGGCCTTGTGGTTGCTGTTTTGCTGGTAGCAAAAGCACAGGTCCCACCAGACAGCCCTGTGACAGGAGGATCTGCTGTCTTCTCAGCACTGGGGACACGGAGAGCCCCCGCTGTCAATGTTGGCTGAAGAAATGAGGCTGAAAATGGCCCAAACCAGTCGAGACAAATTTTTCTGCAGAGAGGAACCTAAGTAGACGGGAAGTGACTTAAACAGAAAATACCTTCTAGAAAGGCAATAGAGGAAATAGACACAGGCAGACTTCAGATGCTCATAGGGAGAGGCCAGAGGGCCCGGGACCCGGGGCCCGGGACCCGGGGCCCAGGCGCAGGAGCTGCAGGGACGCACCTTAGCAAACTCTCTTCCTCCCTGGAAAACAGGAAGCTCTGCTCAGCGGAGCTCGACTGTGACTTCAGCATCTTCAGCTCCATCTCCAGCTACGAGAAAGCAAAGGGCCAAGGGTCAGCAGATGTGGGGGGCAGCTGGGAACCCACAGCCCAGGCCCCTGCTGCCCCCCCAGAAATCCCACAGGCGGCATCTAAATGCCCCACAGATTGGATCCCCACTGGGGAGCTGGGGAGGAGAGACCATTTTGCTGGAATCCCAGAAGCCTGAGGCTGCCTGGCGGTGAGCATCCTCAGTTGTATAAACACGGGTTCTTTCTCGTTTTTAGCATTTTTGTCTCCAGAATTGCAGAGACACAGTCATTTTGGGGAATGCTGAGGGGAGATATCAAAATCTCTGGGGAAAAGGGAGTCACAGCATTTGGAAAGAACATGTTCTAAATTTACCATTGATTTGATTTCACAGTCACAATATTTTATTTATTGTGCTACTTCAAACTCCTCTGTCGAATGGCATGAAATGCACATATCCCCCAGAAGGGAATGTGGACGTGTAAAGGAGATGTGTTAACCTCCTTTAACACGTACGGAGTGGGAGGAGTTGGGGCAGCAGATGGGGGTGTGGCCGGGAGACAGAATGACAGCAGGACTTGGAAAGAGCAGGGCACAAACAGGGGACTAGGTCAGGCAGGCCAGGGAGCACAGCCACTGCAAGGACCTTCCCAGAGCTCCACTCAGAGCTCCTTACCTCCTCCTGCCCTGCCCAGGCCCGCCTCAGTCCTCTAGTCCAGGCCAGAGCCTCACTCAACCACGCCCACCACACACCAAAGCCAGGCTCATCGTATTCCCACAGGAGGCAGAGGGGCGAGGACTTGGGAAGTGGCATGTGGAAGGGGGGCAGGCGTGGGCAGGAGAGAAGAATGCCACATGGATCCATGGAGTGCTCATGCACCTGCACAGCTGCAGGACCACCACCACCAAGGACACAAAGTCTCCCAGAAGCCCAGAGTAGGGCTGCTGAAGCAGATAATGTCCTCGAGGGCTGAAGGTCCATAGAGATAGGGGGGCACCAGGGGATGGCCAGGCTACATTGAGTCTCCAGGATGTAAGTGAGCCCTTGTTCACATCAGACCAGGCCTGAGGAAGATGCACACGTCCAGGAAAGGATGCCTGCAGCCAGGCCTGTCAAGGTGGCTGGGTAGACCACGCAAAGGTCCCCAGACAATACAGGGCCGGGACAGGCCATGTAGCCAGGCTGACTGGAGCCTCGAGAGCAGTGTCCCCATCCCTCCCCACAAGGTTGACCAGGCGTAACCTACTACCCATCTTTTTTAGACAGAATTCTGATGGTGAGTGGGGAGGCCCTGAACTTTAGATGCTACTGTCCCTGAAGTGTCAGTGGGGCAGACACCAGTGACAGGCCATGGCATAGGCACCAGGGTCATCAGGAGAGGCTGTCAGGCCAGCTTCATTAATGCCCCAAGTAGACATGATGGTCAGCTTTACCTCGCTGGACCCTTGGGTGGGGCTGGTCAGTTTACTGACCAAGAGTCCCCTGAGTGCCCTCAGGCTAGAGAATGCTGGGGACAAAGACAGTGCAAGGGGCTGCTTACGAGTTCCCACAGCCCATGTTCTTTGAAGAGACCTGTTTTTCTTCTGTCAAAATTGGGAAAAATTTAGTAGATAAACTTTATAGGAGCACATGACCCTGATGTCCTACTGGGCCACTCACAGACTCATTCCCTGGGCCTCTGTCCACTCACTGCCTCCTGGAGTGTCCTTGCTTTCCGGCTCACATAAGGCTTCCACCACTGGTGGACAACATACTCACCCCTTGCATGGCCTGACTGACCAGCCCCCAATTCACCCCTCACTACCTTGTCCCACCTGGGCCTCTGCAGGAGCTGACCCCTGCTGGGATCGCTCTCTCCTCCCTGGGTAATTCCTTTGCCTCCTGCTGGCCCAGCATAAGGCCACATCCTACAGACCCTGGGCTCCTGCTGTTGTGTCTGAGTACTTTCAGGGACACAATCACAAATTTGGCTCTTTGCCTATTGATCTGATGTTGGTGAGTCTTCCACCCTGGGCTGCGAGCTGCAGGGAGTACACAAAACTGCCTGTCTGACTGATTGTGTATGCCCAGTGCAGTGGCCAGCACAGGTCGTCAGCAACTACTTACCAAACAGAAGAACGGCTATGTGAGAGGACAGGTGCCATGCCAGGGCTGGGCAGAGGACTGTGGCCCACACCCCCACCGCCTCCCCCTCTAACAGGATGGGAGGCTCCTTCGTATAAATCTCATATTTGGTGGCTGTTTTCTAGTTGCCTCAGGGACATGGGGTGCTGTAAGTAGCCCTGGTTTTCTCTGAAGGGTAAGGAGAGACATAGCAGGTTGGCCATCCCTGTGTGCAGGGCTTGCCTGGAGGACATGAACTCTGCAGGGCAGCATGCCAAGAACACAGAATTACCCAGCTTTCAACATGCGGAGACAGTGTGGGCCAAAGGGATATTCAGGAAATAGAAGAAAGTCCCGAGTACAAATACCTCTATTAGTTCTTTTCTTGAACGAACAAACGAACAAACCAAAAAAGTCACTAATCCTTAAAAACCACCTCCATCAATGCTACCACATCTAAGAACAAAAGGTATACACTGACAGATATCTAACGGAAGCTTCCTGAACAGGCCAGCAACCACGACAGCCCACTAACAGGTACAGTGGACGGCTGACTGGGACATGAGTTCCCAAGAAGGCTGGGTGGAGAGGGCATGGCCAGCTCAGGGCAGACACAGACAAAGGGAGGCCCCATGACCACCCAACCGCATGTCCCATGAGTCCATTAGGGCACTGCTGACTCAGGATTCCTAGGGCTGCCCACCTCCCGCAGACACCAGTTCGCAGTAACCTGCTGCACGAACAAGGTGCCTGCTGTGCACTGAGCTCTAGCCGCTTTCTTCTGGAAACATTCTCCTTAGGTGTTTCCTGGAAAGGCTCTCCCGGGGCAGCCTGATTTAGGAATTTCTTGGGTCCTAAGCATCTGTCTCTATGAAGTTCCAATATTGTTTATCGAGGTAACTCTGCTCCCCCAAATGGGGCCAGTACAGACCCAATGACTCCTTCTGGCCTGCTGGTTAGGGTAAGCCAAGCAAACCACTCTCAGATTGTGTTCCCAGAAAAGCCTGCACAGGTCCACAGGGTAGCAGGGGTTACGCTCGAGGGCCTCTGCAGGAGTCTCTGACACCCACTGAGCCTGCAGTGTACCTCAACAGATGGCAGGCAGCTCTCGGCGTGCCAGGGCAGGGGTAGCATCCCACCTCACAGAATAAGCACTGCGTGGCCATGTGGGCAAGATGGCACCACAACACTGAACCAGTTCAGCTCATATTCAAAGGAAAGTGGACTTCCCCTGGCCAGTCATGTTCTCTGTTGCTCCTACCCTCTTGGGACCTTAAAAGGTTGGCCTTAAGAACTTGGAGGAACTTAGGAAAGTCTCCTGCCAGGGTCCATGCTGCCACAGCTATGGAACTTCTCTCACTCCCATTCTAATGCTGCCGAGACCTCATGTCCAATAGGTGGCATCCACCTCTAGCACGAGATTAGCTCACAGTGGTCCTTGTGCAGGTGCGAGCCTGTCCTAACATGTCTTTCCTCGTGGTCACAGTCTGAGGTACAGGTGCACACATTTAAACCTCACTGGACCAAGAAGAGTCTCCCTTGGAAGAACACAGGCCAGAGCTAAGAGTGGCCTGGGCTCATTTCTCTTTTTTTTGGGGGGGTGGGGTGGGGCAGTGGGGAGGCTTGATAAGGGAGTGACTGATCACTTGAGCAGAGGAGTTATATGTCCAAGAATGGAGATGCAGATTCATCTTACCTACCAAGTGCCCTGAGCAGAGAGGAAGACTGCAGAGAAGAGCAGAGTTGAAGACAGAAGATTTTAAAGATTTCTCAGGTCTTCATGCAAGGCCCTGATGCACTTTGTCCTGGATCCCATAACACACTTAGGAGTCTTAAGATTCATGATTCAGGGACCAGCACTTAGTGTAATGGCTATGTCGTTGGACTCCCATGTAGTTGACCGCAGTTCGAGTCCTGGACCTGGTAGCTTGAACTCATGCCAGGCGCGTGTGCGTACATGCCCAGGATCTTGAGGGAGAATGGAGGAGAACGGATTGCAGCGTGGCCATCCTCCCTGAGGGATGATTTCTCACTTTGTGTCTCTCTGTCTCTCTCTGTCTTTCTGGCGAGCGCATGCACCCTATAGCAAAAAAACCCTCCAAAAAAAGAAGAAGAAGAAAAAGATCCATGGTTCAGGCGGAGCCTAGTGGCATAGACATAGCACATTGGACTGAAGTGCTGCAAGTCACATGGCCAGTCACAGTGTGGCTAACCATCTGGGACTGAAAACTTACTAGGTGTATATGTAGGCACCTGGGATCCAAAGGAGTGGGAGGGTGAGGAAATGAGACTGCAGCATGCCAAGATCTCTCTCCCCACTCTGTGTACATGTATTTTCTATCATGAATAAAACTCATCAATAAACAACAACAAAAAAGAACTTTAAAAAAAGATACACAGGGGTTCAACAGTTGGCATAATGGCCATGTTGCTGGACTCCCACATAGGCGACCACAGTTTGAATCCCAGACCCGGTGGCTTAAACTCATGCCGGGTGCATGTGCATGCGTGCCCAGGATCCTGAGAGAATAGAGGAGAGGGGATTGTGGCATGGTCATTTCCCCGCCCCCCGGGGGGGTTGTGATTTCTCGCTTTCTGTCTCTCTCTGCCTTTCTGGGGAGTGCACACACCCTATAGCAACCCCCCCCCAAAAAAAAAAAAAGATACACAGTTCAGGTAACAAATACCGAAGGGCACACACTGACCAACCTCTCTCGACATCAGACCCCTGACCCTTATGCACAGTACCCTCCAGAAATGGTTTACACACATGCCAGCAAAATGTCTGTTCTTCCCCCCTTTTTAATATTTTTTCAAATAAAGGATAAAATATCCTATATGTTATTTCATTCCTTACTTTTTCACTTAATATATTTTGTAATTATTTCCAAACCAAGACAAAGAGCACTCCCTGGCT